ATATTTTATCGGTATAGATTATATGGATTGCTTTCAAATATAGAATTACCATGTACAATAAGTTGAGTCAAGTCATTTGCTATTTTAACATTGGGCTTGTTGTTATTTAAATCAGTAAATATGTTGGTCATCTTTTTCTCTATTTCATTCACATTATCAGTTAAGGCTTTATTAAAACCTGTTTGTGTAAACCTATGCCAAGTGTTTTTTTAAAATCATTGCAAAGATTTATAATTTTATTTCTAATCATATTATCTAAATTTTTAGTTTTAGAAGGGTTATCAATAAACAATCTAAATTGATCTAAGTTGTTTATAATTTCATTCAAGTGATTATTAACTTGATCAATTTCTTGAACATAATTTTATCAAGATTTGTTCTATAAACATCCAAATAGTTCTTAGCCAGTTCAAGAAACTCTTGTGCTTTTCAATTAATTATTGTTGGGGATGAAGCTTGAAATTGGATATTGCTGAGAATTTGAATTATTTTAATATAAAATTTTAAGCTATTTTTATTAGCTTTTTTTAAAGGTTTGGTTAGAATTTAGAGTTAGAGTATATAATAAAAGAGTATATGTGGATTTTAATAGGGTTTATATTTTTGAATTGAGACCCAAATTCTTAGCATTATCTGATTCCAAGCTTCATCCCTGACAATTATTATTGCATAACTAGTTATTAGTTCAGGCTTCTTTAATTGTATCAATGTTAATCAAATAAAAATAATAATATAGTGCAATATTCAAAACAAATACCTTCAATTGCTTTCAAAAAAATTTTTTCCATAATCAGTCTTTAGCCTTCAGGATCTTTCAATGCGAAGGCAAACGGAAAAATAAAAATTACAAGTGCACATAATCCAAGTGCAACTATAAATGTTATAACAAATGATGGTAAAAACATGGTGTTTAAAGATAAATATCAGTGACCCGATTCAAATTTGAATATCTATTCACATGATCTTTACCATTTTTATTTTTTCTTTTTAGGAATTTTTACTGGGTTGATGAAATGATAATCAATGATCAAAGATGAGAACGAAAAGCTCCTCGCAGTCGGAAAATGTGTACCAGGTTGGTAACGTATGATCTACGAATCAGCTTTCAAGATTAGGTGTAACGTAACACAATCATGAAGATTCAAAACAAACCAAAAATCGCCCATAACTCAAAAATCAGTATAAGAAACCACCTTTTGTGCTCTAACAAAAAGTTTTCGTTGGACAATTTTACTATTAAAACTACTCCCCTCTA